CAATATTAATTAACAACGATGACGTATGAGCCCATCACTCAATCATATTATGTGCCACGAGAACCGAGTGAATATCGCACTACTTTCTCAATACGCCAGTCAAGCAGAAATGGTATCCAATATGCTGGACTCTGGAGAATCCATTTTTACTTTCTCGTATATACGAAGTATAGAGAAAGTCTTGTAATCGTGCAAAAAAATCGAGATTTTTACAAATCTCGACGTTTTACACCTCACTGATACGGAAAAACATAATTTTGCAATCTTGTCCGTATGTCTGTGTGTCTGTGTGTCTGTCTGTCTGTGTGTAAACACGATAACTTGAGTACCGTTACAGCTAGGTTGATAAAATTTCATATATAAGTATTTTATCAAAATCATAGATCCTGATCAATTTTTGAGCGATTTCTGATAACCGGAAGTGGTACTTTTTCTACTTTGAATGTTTCAAAAGCCTATAACTTGAGTACTATTTGATAGATAAATGAAATTTCACATGTAAGTAAAAGATCTAATTCTCTACCTTCTATCAAATTTTGAGTAATTTCCGTTGAACGGAAGTACTAATTCTGAGTTATATAAGAATATTCGAGAAAGTTTAGGTGAGATCACTCCCGGTTTATTTTTAATTAATCTTTAAAAAAAAATATGTAGTTCACTTTTTGGATTTGGTATGACTTTTCTAAAGTTTTTTTTTTTTTAATTTCTGTAACTAAACAAAATTGATAGTGAAGCAAAATCTTTCGGAATGTCATGGACCCAAATCGACCAAAAAGAATAGTACAAAGGAGAGGTGTATTGGGGATGATCAAACAAAAAGCTTGTGTTTTTTTTTTTTTCTGTGGCCATTTGGTAAATGTAAACAAAAGTAACTAGGTCACGCTGACGTTCAACATATAAAATGTGTATATGCCACGGGGAAAAAAAATCCCAGTAGACCGCCAGATATCGGTCCTGTAATGGGCCTAATAATGGTTTGATTTTTATTTCTGTGGTTATTTACCTAAACCTTCCATTTTTTTCGTTTTGTTAGTATTGTAAAATTGCAATTTGTATAGTGACCTTTGACTTTGTAGACAGCAGTCCTCAAGATGGTAGGAAAAAAATGCGAAGTGAAAATTAAAATCCATGATGGGGAGGGGGTCGCTTTTGATAATTTCCCGGGCCACTTAGTTACCCCCCCTCCCCCATACCCATAATGTTTAATTATGTATATGTATATGGCTTGCGGACGGATAGGCGGACGGACGGACCCATAATAACAAAGGAATATATAGTTTAAAAAATTGACTTGATCGACATAGTGTAATATATATAAAGTGCTCATTAGCTAAGTTAATGATTTTAAAAAATATTGAAGGTGTTATAAAACAAATTTTATTTTCCAAACTTATAGTGTTACTTGACGGCATTTGCATTAAACAAAATTTTAAAAAATGTATCACTCTTCACAAAAATTCAAATTGTCTGAAAATTATTTTCATTTAGTCCTTTAGCACTAATTACGCCCCTTGATAAATTTGGACAACACAATTACTTCCCTTTAACAAAAACATAACATCGGAAGAAAAAATACTTTTTATTACTGTGTTTTGGTGTTGGGAAAAAATAATTACATAATTAACGTGGATTGATCAAGTGCAATGTGGTAAGTAAAACATGGATATTTTAAATAATGCCTTTTATTTATTTTATAAACTGAACGTACCGTTTACTAAATATTATTTGTAATCAATAATAGTTTAGAAGCCGCACCTAAATGTCCTCTATGTTTACTTCTATCTTTCCGATTGCGGACAAGCTTGTGGTATTATAGTTGTTCACTAAGTTGAATCAGACGGTTCCGCCAGCGCCCAAGCATGGTGCGATTTGGCACCCCGGGCTAGACTGTGAACACTTTGCTTTTATGTTTTCATCTAAGTTTGTGTTTATGTTTCCATTTATTTGTGTTGTTTTTTTTTTGCGTTTAGGTTAGCGTTTGTATTTCTTTGTGTATTAGCGTTTGTGTTTGCTTTTTTGTTTGCATTTGTGTTTTCTTAATGTTTGGGTTTGCGTATGCGTTTGTGGTTGGGTTTATGTTTGCGTTTGAATTTGGGTTTGTTTTCGTTTGCTTTTTTGTTTGCGTTTGTGTTTGTGTTTTCTTATATCCTCTGTATCTCTCCCCCATCCAGCCTCCTACTGCAGCCTGAAGGCCGACAGAGGGACGTGTACGGCTATCGGCATGCGAGTGTTCTACAACAAAACTTATATAACCATTGTTTTATCTCCCCCCCCCCTCCAGCCCCCTACGGCATGCGAGTGTTCTACAACAAAACTTATATAATCATTGTTTTATCCCCCCCTCTCCCCCCCCCCTCCAGCCCCCTACGGCATGCGAGTATTCTACAACAAAACTTATATAACCTTTGTTTTATCTCTCCCCCCCCCCCCCAGCCCCCTACGGCATGCTAGTGTTCTACAACAAAACTTATATAACCATTGTTTTATCCCCCCCCCCCCCCCCAGCCTCCTACTGTAGCCTGAAGGCCGACAGAGGGACGTGCACGGCTATCGGCATGCGAGTGTTCTACAACGCCAAGACCGGCTACTGCGAGAGGTTCTTCTACAGCGGCTGTGGCGGCAACAAGAACAATTTCTTCACCCGACGGGAGTGTATGGACAAATGTAAGGCCAAACGTAACGGCTGATGGGATGTGACAAACGTGACGGCGGATGGGATGTGACAAACGTAACGGCTGATGGGATGTGACAAACGTGACGGCTGATGGGATGTGACAAACTGTTAGAGAATCGTCACGCTCGAAGTAACTGTTAATTAACTGTCAAAATATATAACTTCCATGTACTACTTCATTCTTCTATTATTTTTATTATGTTTTGATAATTAAAAAAATGTTGAATCCATGTAGCCTACATCTACTTGTTTTCAATATCTGTGTATCGTTCATTCCGGTGTGAATGGGTAGTTGTGTAATTCAGGGGTACGTGATGAATCAAATACCTGTATAACTTCTTCGCTCTTAATTAATTGCAATGTTGGAGGTGATCTCCTTCAAAATAATCATTACTTGTCAATAAGTTAGGCGTCATTGAAGCTATTTACTCCTATTTCAGCCTGCTTTTTTTTCTGGGTTTGCTTCCATCCAAGAACAAACGACGAGGCAGCGGCTAACGAGCCTCACCAGCAAGGGGTTCGAACTCGGGGTTTATGGAAAAACAATCATGCACTCTACTGTCCGACTACGCTACCACCACCCGTATATCAATTTCCCTGAAATCTAAAAAAAAAATTAAAATATAATGAAAACGAAACAAATACTCTATAAAATGTAAATCTAATTTACTAGGAATTATGCTCTTTAATGCTCTATTTTATTTAAGCTTTTATAAGACGAGTTTAATTCTGAAAACCTAAAATAGTACTAAGCAGAACTTTTACGATGTAGCGGGGTGTACAGGGGGGGGGGTCATGGGGCGGGGCGAGACGGGGCGATCTGACATGGCTGATTTCTAGAGCATATTTTAACATCGGCGCCATGCCATTAGCACTGGGCCAGACTGGTAACCAATTATAAGAACCTTTTACACACACACACACACATACACGCACATGCACATACACACATTTAAATACTCATACATAAATATGTATATTTAGCCAGTGCATGGTGAAATCTTGGATTATCCACATTCGGGAAATTACATTCTACAACCACGCTCATAACAACACAATCCATGTCGTTTTTTGTCTACTGCGACAAACACGCTTATAAAAACAGAACAAATGCAAATAGCCACACGCTATCAACCTGGCGATACAATAAAACAGTCTGGTGGAACGTTAATTAGATTAATTACGGTAATCACTCAACTTCGGTGCAGAATAATTGAGGATTTAAACCAATAGCTCGTGTGTTTAAATGATGCAAGGTCATTGGCATGTCACAACGGTCTTGCCCGGTGCTAGAGTGCATTAGACGTCCCTGAGTCCACCCAGCTCTAATGAGTACCTGACTCGCTGGGGAAAGTGCACTGGGCTGGGCTTAGATCTGAATATACAGTCCTTCATACGGAAACAGATGTACTTTACTTCATCTGCCTTCTGCTCGAAAATGATACGGCACCAGTATAAACGTCTGATGTCGCCGTTAAAAACAGAGTGGAGCGCTCACGCATCGTCGTTGATAGATACAATGGCGGAGTAGGGGGTCAGGTAACACCGGGTGCCACCATTTAACGGGTGCCACCATTAACGGGTGCCACCATTTAACGGGTGCCACCATTTAATGGGTGCCACCATTTAACGGGTGCCACCATTTAACGGGTGCCACCATTTAACGGGTGCCACCATTTAACGGGTGCCACCATTTAACGGGTGCCACCATTTAACGGGTGCCACCAAATTTTAAAAAAAACCCATAACATTTACTGTAAAAGAAAAATGTGCTATTCAGTTAAAATAGTAAAATATTAGAGAAGATGGAGGTGACACTAAAAGCAAACATCATTAGAGGGAGCTGGGCTGACACCCTCAGTAACCGCACCGGCCGCGCCACATAGATAATTACTTATCTTAGTAAAGTTACAGTCATCTTGGAAATGAAATATTACATCGCAATGACGAGGTACCTCATCGTTGTGTTAACGTACCGTTTAAGTGTAGAGATACCTCACCTGCGTGATACAATCAATGATTGTTTTAATCAATACTTAGTTTGGATTAATAAGCGGACACTAATTAATCACAGTCATTGCACTTAATGTGCCAATGCGCGTGCCTCATACGACAAATTATAATTAACATCAGGTAAAACAATTAATTATCTCATCAATAAAACTACGCGGTAGATAAATTAATAACGGCGTAGTTGAACTCATTCTTTATTATCCTTTAATGACGATATAAACTGTATGCATATCTTACGTATTAATTAATCGAAACACGCCTACTAATATTAAAATGTTCGATCATGTATGCTACTATATATGTTACAAACAATGTAGAAAGTAAGGGTTGTTGCAAATGAATTTTGTAAGATGGAGGGCCGACTCGTTTTTGTTGTAGGCCTACTATTAGCTGTGGGCATGCGCACTACAATACAACAAGCACGTAAGTAGAAAGTTATACTTTAGTTGTAAACTTAGTTTAACGTGTATTTCAAAATCTAGCTGTATATATATATATATATATATATATATATATATATATATATATATGTGTATGTATTTATGAATAGGTAGATTTATATATATATATATATATATATATATATATATATATATATATATATATATATATATATATATATATATATATATATATATATATATATATATATATATATATATATATATATATTGCAAGTTTAGATTTTTAATTTCGACTCTAACCATTTTAGTAAGACTTTTTTATTACAAGTCTTTTGTTTAGTCAAAAAGTTTGCTTGTGGGAACCTCCCGGTGGTCCGGGGAGGTTTAAGTGTTCGAATCTTCAAATCTGATGCTGTTTGAGGCTATTTCTTTCAATACAATATGTATCAATGCTTCTCTGTAGGCAACACATTGCAATCTAGTTGTTTATTTAATTACGTGTTAATTAAATTAGTCATTGAAAACAAAGTTATTAAAATAATGCTACCACGGCTTGCTACAAATAGGGGAAGTAATTCGATTGTAATGCTCATTTTTTTATCCTCTATTCACGTTTGTCTACCTGTTGAGGGTTTCAAATAATACAGAGCTACCTCTTCAATTTAAATCAAACGTTTTAGTCCAGCTATAATTCTCAGACAAACAGACTCGGAACTATAGGCCCGTTCTGAATAGAAAATATTTTCCAATGGATGCATTGTCTTTTTAAATAATTATGCATTGTTTTGTTTACATTTTCCCAATCTTATATACGTACATATCATATAAATTCAAACTATATGATCTATTTTCCCTTACTTTTATTCGATTTAATTTTTAACTCTGTTCGATTCCACTCATTACGAGCTAAATAAATGCACACAAGCTTTGAGATTTTGTTCGAATTAACTTTTAACTCTGTTCGACTCATCTCCTTACTAGCTAAATAAATATACAAGAGCTTTGTGATTTTATTCCTATTTTTAACTCTGGTCGATTCCTCTCCCCACCAGCTGAGCTGTGCCTCAGCCCGCCACTGAACGAGACCTGTATCGAGGGCGTAGAGCGCTACTTCTTCAACGCCACGGCCTGGACATGCGAGACCTTCATGGACGCCAGCTGTATAGAGAACAAGAACAGCTTCGAAACCTTCGAAGACTGCATCGAGGTGTGCGATCCCCCTAATGGACAATAGCGATTCCCAAAATGGACAAAACTGATTCCCAAAATGGACAAAAACGATTCCAAAAATGGACAAAAACTATTCCAAAAATGGACAAAAATGATTCCGAAAATGGACAAAAACGATTCCAAAAATGGACAAAATCCATTCCAAAACGGACATGGCAATGGTTAATAGCGCTAAAAGCAAATTTCACTTGAAGGAAAATCTGATGTTAGTTTTATATTAATCAACGATGAAAATTTCAACTCATCTGTATTCTTAAAACGGATTGTGATTTGTGACCCATCTGTTTCAGTTTACAACAGTTTTACAATAGGAATCATCCAACGTATAGGTAATAAAATATTTGAAGGTTAAAATAAATAATAAAAATTTCACAATGAAGAAAGCTATTCCTTTACAACGTGTTAGTTCTTTCTGAAGTTTCATTTTACAGGCGGCTACTAAGCAACAATTCCTCTACTGAAAACAGTTTTTTGTTGTTGTTTTTTTTTTTTTTTTTTGTGAATTATTATTTATGTCGAAACATTTTTAATGATCTAGAAAATAGTTCCTTATCTCAAACGTAAACAAAAAATTCCAGAAATAATTATTGTATCAGCTAAAAGAGAGGTGGAGTGGGAGGAGGGGGGGGGGTTGGAGCTGTTTGGTTGTGCAGTGTGACATCCATTTTGTCTCAGATATTGATTTCATGTCTTGTAGGCAGAGAAAGAAATGTTGCGATATTCATAAATATTGATAACTTATTATAAAAATGTTGAAGCGTCTACAAAAATAATAAAATAAAGATTCTTGATCTAATTGATTAACCATTTACATTCAATTAATTTTATCCAAATTTATTCTAATATTATAATAAGTTATAAGTTATATTAATTATATTATTATAATTTATATATATTTATTTATAATTTATATATATTTATTTATAATTTATATATATTTATAATAATTATATTATTATTATATTATATAATATTAATAAGTTATATTATAATATTATATAAGTCAATCTTGGAAATAACATTGGATTGACCAAGCTTGTTAATAACATCCTCTATTTGTTGTAAAGGGTAGGAAACAGATTTAGTAAGGGCATTGACTTTCCTAAAGTCAGTTACAAATCTGAAAGTGCTATCTCGCTTTGGGACCAAAGGACAAGTGGAACTCCAATTACTAAAACTGTGTTCTATGATATCATTTTCTAACATGTATTCAATTGTTTGTTTCATGATAACAGCTTTTTCTGGGTTAACTCGGTAAGGATGCTGTTTCACGGGTTTGGCATCACCTACATCAACATCATGAGGTGGAACATTGGCTTCTTTAGGAATAACACGAATAAACCGGGAGTGATCTCCCCTAAACTTTCTCGAATATTCTAATATAACATTACGTGGGATGGCAACTCGGAATATAGACTTGATTTTTGTTTACTTAAACTTTTATAAAATAGAATAAAATCTAGTAGAAAAAAAGAATTGCGCACCAAGCGAACGCCAAAACATAATAGTGCGCAATATTATTAGTACTTTATAAATTTACATGCGTTTTTTGAGAAATCGGAAATAGCGTACATTAGTACTTCCGGTCAACGGAAATTACTCAAAATTCGATGGAAGGTAGAGAATTAGATCTTTTACTTAAATGTGAAATTCCATTTATCTATCTGAAATAGTACTCAAGTTATAGGCTTTTGAAAAATTCAAAGTAGAAAAAAATACCACTTCCGGTTACCGGAAATCGCTCAAAAGTTTATTCGGATCTATGATTTTGATAAAAAACTTAAAATGAAATTTCATCAACCTAGCTGTAAGGGTACTCAAGTTATCGTGTTTATACACAGACACACACACACACACACAGAGTCACACAGACATACGGACAAGATTGCAAAATTATGTTTTTCCGTATCAGTGAGGTGTAAAACGTCGAGATTTGTAAAAATCTCGATTTTTTTTTTTGCACGATTACAAGACTTTCTCTATACTTCGTAAATACGAGAAAGTAAAAATGGAAGGAAATGCATTAATCAATTGTGACAATTTTTTACTTTCATCTGTGGATAGATGAACACATTTCTCATCTAAATGAGACAAAAATGATGAATTTAAAAATTTTGATGGTTTAAGTTTGTCATGGATAACATCATCAGATTTATCAGAAACACATATAGGTAAAAATAACCTTATCTGTGGAAAGAGAACAAGTACTAGAATCATAGTACTTTTTAATGAGTTAACATGGTAAATCTGTTGTTTCTTCCTCCGGTCTGGAGTGTTGATGACATAGTTCAGATCATTCAATCTTGAATGAACCGTGAAGGGTCCACAGTACCTTAAAGATAAAGCATTGTTAATGTTAGGCACGAGAAAAAAGGGCTTTCTCGCCTGGGTTGAATGTTCGCTTTCGATTGACCATGTCATAACGCTCTTTCATTACCACCTGGGCCTTTCTTAAGTTCTTATTAGCAAATTCACACACGGCTTTCAAACGGACGTGAAAATTGTCAAAAGTTTCCACTGGATGGGTTTTGGTTCCAGTCCAACGCTTTTGGACCAGCTGCTTCAGAGGACCAAGGACAGAATGACCAAACACAAGCTGAAAAGGTGAGTACCCTAGAGATTCTTGAACACAGTCTCTAGCTGCGAAGATAATCCATGGAACAGTTTCAACCCACTGGGCGTTAATCCTAACAAACGTTCTCAGCATGGTTTTCAGGGTCTGGTGAAACCTTTCAAGTGCACCTTGAGATTGTGGGTGATAAGCTGAGCTTGTGACATGAGTGATGCCTAGCTTTGCTAGCGCTTCTTGAAAATGATGACTAGTAAAGTTACTGCCTTGGTCGGTTTGAATAATCCTGGGTAGACCGAAGGTGGTAAAGAATCTGGTCATGGCTTTGACCATTGTCTTTGCCTTTATGTTTCTGAGGGAGGAACGCTTCAGGAAAACCTCGAGCACACGATCGTAAGTAGTCGTTACCCGCCTTGGTTTTTGGCAAAGGACCGATGAAGTCCATGATGACTCTGCCAATTATGTTATGGCCAATGCCCGAAATCAGCCCTAATGGAACTGGCAAGCTAAATTAAGTTTTGCTAATATCACTTTACATTGACCACGGATGTCTTGGTGAGCTGTTCTTCCCGTAGAATGTTAAACTTACTTTTTGAATACAGTTGTTTGATAATATCATGTTCAGTTATTAGCTTGTTAATAGCGCCCTCAACGTTCATGACTATCGCATAGACACCTTGTGGATTCGATTCAGGTTATGCTACAAATATTTACACACCTTGATTTGAGGAAGGCTTTTTAAGTTTATTAATGTTCTAAAATTATCAGAATTTAGTCAAACTGGTTTGGTTTTGAGCAAGCCAGACTAATAAAACTAAAAATGTGCATTATATTACGAAAAAGGGTCTCATAAAATGATTTTTCATTGTGAAAATATCCCCGCTTTCTGAAATCCTTCGACTCAAGGAAATATAATCGAAAAGTTAAATTCTAGGAGACTGGGCATCAAAGATGGCGCATGGTAAAATGGACAAATACGTACGCACTCTGGGCTATATGGGTTAGTTAACCAAGAAATAAAAAAATAAAAATCAAACTACTTATAGGCCTACTACAAATCGTTATTGGCGGCCCACGGAGATTTTTCCCGGCGGCCAACAGAGAAGTTTTCCTGGCGGCCCACGGAGATTTTTCCCGGCGACCGAGCAGGTCAGTTTCTCCCTGTTCATGTTGGACACAAGTAGAAAAATATCTGTAACAACAATTTAATATTAAACCTGTTTACAATACACCACAAGGGGTAGATCATATCCGACCATTAGCCACAGTTTAATCACCATGTTGCAGTAGCTGTTAATATTCACTTATTATCTAGATGCCTAAGAGTATTCGTGATTGAATAGAGGTTTGTTAGGAGCACACACATGTACTCGCACGAACACACGTAAACACACCCACACGCACACGCACACGCACACACACGAACGCACACACACGCACGCACGCAATAAAGCACACACACGAAAACGCAAACACACACAATGACATAAACACGCACACAAGCTCACGCACTCAAGCTCACACACACACAAACAGACACACACACACACGCACAAACATACACACACGAACTCGCTTACACACGCACACACACACGAACTCGCACACACACCTAAACACGCACATACACACAAATGTGTATTTTACTCAGTTTTACAAGAGCAACCCTACGTGCATCTCCCGTGTAGATATATTATGCAGATATAAGTTTCAGATAAATTATTCATGTACTGTAATTATAATGGCGAGTGGAAAAATTCTGTGTGTAAATAGACACGACTCTCCTTAATTTATCAGAAGATAGTTATTTTATTGGCAAAACATGAACAATATATTAAATTATCTTAAATATAAATTCGATATGAAAAAATGACGCAGTTAATGTGGTGAATTTGTGAGCGTGGAATTGAGACATCCCAATGGCGTCTTCACAACTTCCACGTCTGCTGCTGATCCACGTCTAATTCATGCTAGGGAACTGCAGGGAGGTAACTGAGATTTCGTGTCTGTAGTGTCGAGAGGTAGTGGTTGTGTCTAAACTCATATCTCGTCATTAGTGTTTAGAGAGATCTCTGGCCATTAGTCAGTGTTTGAGATATCTGGTCATCAAAAGTAATCTCCCCTAAACTTTCTCGAATATTCATAATAATATATAACACTACTAGGGATGGCAACTAAGGATATAGACATAACTTTTAATCCATTAAAGCTAGGTTACAGCTAGGTTGATGAAATTGCATATATAAGTATTATATCAAATTTATAGATCCGTGTCCACTATAGAGCGAATTCCGATAACCGGAAGTAGAACTTTTTCTATTTTCAATTTTCCAAAAGCCTATAACTTGAGCAATATTTCAGATAGATAAATGAAATTTCAATATAAGTAAAAGATTTAATTCTCTGTCTTCTATCAAATTTTTAGTAATTTCCATTGACCGGAAGTAGTAATTTACGCCATTTCCGATTTCACAAAAAACGCTTGTGAATTTATTAAGTACTAATAATATTGCGCACTATTATACACATTTTGTTCGGCGTTCACATGGTGCGCAATTTTTTTCTACCCGATTCTATTCTATTTTTAAAAGTTTAAGTAATTAAACATGGATTAACAATAATCTCTATGTTGTAAAGTGAGTTTGTGTACAAGGTCGATGCTGAACGTGACGAACAATAGAGGACGACGATCCAAAAGAGAACACAGAACGACGATACGATATTTCCATACTTTATTACATCAATACATACAGCTACATTGACGACAGACGGAACGACGACTTCTAGACATCCTCACAAG